ATGTCACGTAATTTATTGTCTTAAAAATATATCCAAATTTTGGTAAGCAAATAAAAAAAAAAGTTAAGTTAAACATCGTATGTGCACTAGAAATATATTATGGAAAACCCTAAATAGTATTATAATAGTATGTCCTCAATATTTATCAATGAATAAACCATTATCATAAAGTTATCGATTTATTTAACAAGAGAAAAGCTTTTCATAAATTAAATATGTAATTTATACCATTATTCTAATACGGAGTTACAAATAGTTTCTAAAAGGTTTATCTCGAATTAATTTAATACTGTATTGAATAGTAATTTAATAATACGTATAAGTTTACAGACAGTCCATTATCACGAGCATATACCTAGATAGTTTTTTTTTTTTTAATTTCACCGCAATAAACTGTTTCTAATTAAAAAACCCACAATGATTATGATGGTTATGATGGTTATGATAAAATAATTTTAACCAAAATTTACCTGRCATTCGTATGTACCGTTATCAATCTTGGCTACTGGTGATATCCTCAAGTCCCAGTCATCACTTTTCTCTGAATGAAACACGCGAAAACGTCCGTCATTTATGTACGTCAACACTCCGGAGCTCAGTATATGCCAATCTCTCCTTCGTACCCAAGACACCTGAAACCATTATTTTTATTAAAATTGATTTTTCAACATGCAAATATATTATAGTAAATTATTACCTACATACAACACAATGATGGACATTAGTACACAGTATTATCGAGCTGTCCAAAACCTAGGTATGGTGTTATAATAAATACATTTATAGAATTATTATGTTATTATTTTACAATGTATGCAATTATTTTGATCTATATCTTAGAATAAAATAGACATAATTTCCGATCCCTGTGTAGTTGTCAGTTTATCACCGAGATTTCATTACAAATACACATCAGGGTTAAAATGATTAAAAATCAAAAAATAATTTATGAATCAACATGATGCGAGAACATTRCTGCATGAATTTGAAGACAATATTTATTGGTGCATAATTATTAACTTATTATTACTTTGTTATAATAGTATATAAAATTCTAATTATGAAAATACTATACTTTCTCCTTTTTAATACTAATATAAACATTATAAGATTATTAATACATTGAATTGTATAAAAGATAAAGTTATATATCAAAAATAAATAAAAATAGTTTATATTATAGTAAAAAATTTTGAAAATAAACATTGATATAAAAAATAGTATGAAAAAAGTAATGAAACTATAACAATTATGTTAGAAGTTAAAATTCTGCAATGTTTCTGAAAATAGCCTTAAATGGGTACGATGAGAAGACGATTTATTCACATAAATACAGCCAAATAAGAATTCCTAAAATTACGGACCCACTAGGAAATCTCTTATTTTCCCTTTTTAATAATCCTCAAATACTATCTCTATTTTGAGTATGTGCACCTTAATCCGGGTCTAAAACACGATATGTAAATATGGTTTACTGGAATTGCGAATACAACCCAAATTGCTTAAATTGTTAGAATCCTCATAAAGCTGRACATAATTATCAATCCTGGTTATATCTTTTGATTTATTTTGTGTATAATTCATTTTTCAAATTATTTCATATCAAATACAAAAATAAAATAAATTAGCGTGTTTGATTATGTTTCATTCAAATAGCACACATATTATACCAACTTAATTTTAATTGTAAAGGTACTATGCTTGGGTGTTCCCCAGTTATCCCCCACAACTATTATCAAGATTTCAAAAATATACCAGTTGCCTTCAACCAAATATACCAGTATCCCTCACATATTAATATATACACGATTACAATATATAGCCCTAAAATAGGGGAGGTAAATATACAAATGTCAATAAACAAATTCATATGATTGGAATCACATATAATTTGTATCAAATATTATATATTATACAAATAAGATGGATAAAATGAAAATTGTATTAATAATAATAGCCTATTTGGTGCAAAGCAAGGATTTTACCAAAACGCGGATTTTAGACGCGTCTAAGTGGACAGCCGATTACCTAACGTCAATTATTATATTAGGCTTTATCGGGATACGCTTGTTATTATCATTTATTATATCTTTATTAGTATTTTTATGGTTGTTAGAAATTATTATATGATACGATGTAGGCACGTACGATGATACGTCTTTTGATAGGTACATTTTAATAGACTAAAAGCACTGACGTTATTAACACGATGGAAAATATTACGTGAGTGTATAGTGAAATGGGCAATATTTTGTTAGTTTTAAATAGGTAATTATACTTTTTATAAAGATCGCATTACATAAGCTGGTGTGAAATGGCGATGTACAATAAAAACATGTACATCAAAGCTGTTTATGAGTGAAGATGAAATTGTGCTTTTAAAATTGGTTATCGAACACAAACATTCACCGCGTAAAAATTTAACAAAAGTAACCATTTCCAATAATTTAAAACGGAAAGCTGTGGATGAAATTTCCAAACGCCCATTAAAATTAATACGTGAAGAAGTTTAATCAAATATCGTGAATGTAACATTAAACGATGTAAACTCCATTCACAGAAGCATTTATCATGCAAGAAGAAAAACACTTCCACCACTTCCAAAATATATTTTTGAAGTTCACTCAGCATTATCACTATTACAATTAAATACTTACAAAGGTGAGAATTTTCTATTATATAACAACGAGATAGAAAATATGGTATGTTTTACTATAGAATAAAATTTAAAATTTTTATGTACTCGAAATAATATTTTCGTAGACAGAACATTTGAATACTATGCGAAATTTTTTTTACAACTTTTTACAATACACTGTGTTAAAAATGGACATTAATACATTATATTCCATTAGTGTTTTCATTACTGCCTAACAAATCATCGAAAACGTATGAATTATTATTTAATATGTTAAAAGAAAAATGTTCTGGCTTTGAACTTGAATCCAATTCGTCAATTATTGTATCCGATTTTGAACAAAGTATCCATGTAGCTTCTAAATTTGTTTGGCCATTAATTACAGTCGTGGGGTGCAGATTTCATCCAAATCAGTCATGGTGGAAACGCATACAACAGTTAGGATTAAAGCCGGATTATATGGATCCAAATTCAGATATTGGAAAATGGCTTCACTTAATTTTCGGTCTCTCATTACTACCCTCTAGTGAAGTAGACGATTGTTTTGTTGAGGATCTGATGTCAATTCAGCCTTTATCAGAAAAATTAGTTGAATTTTCTGACTATTTAGTTGACCCATATATTTCCTTAAGTTCGACTTTTCCACCTTCACTGTGGGCTATGAATTCAATTGATTCAGAAAGGACTACAAATGCATGCGAATCATTTCTCCGTCATTTTCGAGGAACTTTAGTAGTGCTAGTGCACATCCTAATATTTTTATTTTCGTAAATGCCATAAAAGAAGTACAAACAAATACATACATTTCTATAAGCAGTGWAAACAAAATTAAAAATATTACAAATCGCACATACTTAAACAAAAAATCCAGGATCGAGGATTTTATAAATAAATACAAAAACAAAAATATAAGTAGATTAGATTTTAAAAAATCTGTTAGCAATYATTATAAAAAAACATAATTAGCCACTTAGTATTATAATTAAATTATTTATTATAAATTTTTGTCATAATTTATTTATTATTTGTATATTTACCTCCCTTATTTTACGGGCTATATATTGTAATCGTATATATATTAACATGTGAGGGCAACTGGTATATTTTTCTCTAGGTAGTTCGGGGGGAATAGGTATAAAAAAAGGTACTTTGGGCAACTGGTACATGCCCCTATGCTTTATGCTTAATTTATTCGTGGATATCTATGCGTTTCAATAGGATATTTATAAACTTGGTAACTTATTTTAAAATAAATTTAAAATCTATAGATTGTATTTTGTTGATATTAAGAATGACAATAAAAAGAAGGATAATAAGGTAAATATTATATTGTAAACTAATTTATAGTATTTATACTTACTACAATGTAAGCTTATTTTTAAATGATCATGTAGCATTGTCCCCCTTAAATATATATTATGAGTTATGACGTAATATATTTTATTTTTTTATTTTATAATTTAGATCCTCGAAAACATTGACCATCGGGCTGACACAAAAAATACAATAAATTATTTAATTGCCAAGCTATAATAGTCAGATAATACTGATAGCAATATATTATATAAACATAATATTGTAAACAACTTTTAACAAATACATAATAAAAAAATTAAAAAAATWGTATTTACTTTTTATCAATGATTACAAATATGCGACTTAGCGAGATTTTTTTATCCTACTATTAAAAAATCTAAATGTTAACCATTCATAGATTTTATTGAATCATACTTGATAAATCTACAGGACTTAATTTAACATATTAAATTATTAATGAACCTAATGAAAACCGAGGAAATCACTTTGCTGTGTAGAAGTAGTTGTGTAAACCTAAGTAATCAAAGCTGGGTAGGTCATAGACATGGTTTAATGAATGAGTTCAATTTGAGTTCAGTGGTACAGTTTTAATACATTACGTCAAGTTATTTACTGTAATAAATCAATATATTATGTATATAATATTATCTTATATGTCTTATTATATCTAGCTATTTGAAATATCAGTAGTTTTTGAGACTCTATTTCTGTACAAATATCCATTTAATGTTTTTTTTGTTATATATATATATATATATATTATATATCTAATAATAATATAACAATATTACTAAATTATTTTATATAAATTTGCTGCATGATGTAACTAACTTAAAATTTATTTAAAAATTAATACTGAAGTTCCGTAGAATATTGTGTAAATAGTTTTGTTTTTTTTTTTTTTTATTACCACAAATAAATAAAATCATTAATAAACAGAATCTAATAAAAATCAAAATCCTTCAATTCATTATACATTTGGTGTCATTTTCACAAATTACAAATCCACCAACATTATATATACGATCAATAAAGCAAATAACACCATGCTGTATGCTTGATTGTTGTCTTAAACATTAACATCAGCTATCTACCTAATATAAATAAAACTTCATCTACGAGACCTTCTAACAGTTTTGTATATACCACAGAACATATTTAGTTCTAGATTACAATATTCTTTGTTATACTTTACCAATAATTAATATTTATTATTCCTCATAATAGTTTTCAACTACTTAGATGTTATAGGTATTTTTAGGGAGAATTTTATTTTTGTTTATTTCATAATAGAAATATTATATATATTTTAAATCATTTAAATATTTTCATTTATAAGTTATAATAGTTTTATTTATCTGGATTTTTTTTGAAATAAAAGAATTATATTATTAAAATCACTCTTAAAATACACTTATAATGTGTTATAATTTTTTAACTCCCTAACCAGCCTGCACGCAGACTGAAAAGAAACTGGAATCGCGACCTACTATTCTAAAAAAAAGCGGGTTAGTGGATGTCGATCTGCTGTACATTAGGGGGTGGGGTGGACCTCTGGCTAGGGTAGGTTAAATTTGAATGCAATGATCGGTATCATTGTAAACGAAAAACGATTCTGAACGGAGATGATTTGTCAGTGTAGGATAATATAATATWATATTTAAATATTGTCATACT